CAATTGATTCACTAAAATCTATTGAACTTAATTTGAACTTCACATATCCTCATCGAGGTGTTTTTTATTTTATTTAATCTGATTTATGTATTTTTCCCTTTTAACCTTCTTTTAGGTTGCTATCCTAAATGCCCTCCCGAGCAGCCTATTTTTGATGAGGATAACATGAAGTGTGTGACGCAGGAAGATTGTGGCTGTTTTGTTGATATGTTACATTATCAGGTTGGCCAGCAGGTGCCAACCATAGAGAACTGTCAGTCATGGTATGTGTAGATATTTTCTACTTATATTCATGTTTCAGAAAGGTCACTAACAGTTTTGAAATATATTTAATCTATCCTATCTGTACTTTTTCCTCATGCAGTTATTGTACATCATTTGGTGTTGTCTGTGACTTTGATGTAAATGGTAAGGTTTTTAGCATTTCAGTTATAGTTTAGTTTGAAGATCGTGTAAGAAGAATCTATTGTCATCATATACTCTTTCATAAAACTTTATACACTTTCCATATACATTTTCTATTTTTACAGCATGTACATGCCAGTACAACAATGTGGAGTACAACTTTGGAGATATAATTTATCACACAACGGATGGGCTGGGAGGTTGTATCACAAGCAAATGTTCAGTCAATGGAACTATTGAGAGGACTTTGATACCTTGTGAAACAACTAATGTCCCAACAACCACATCCACCATGACCACAATGCAGAAATTAACACCAACCCCGACAACAGTTTTTGTCTTCAGCACCCCAGGTATTCTTTCATTTCTGTGGTACACATTTATTCCTGATCTTATATATTACTACTATAGCTTGTTTAGGCCTCATGCATTGTAAACCATAGCTATTGCATTAGTTCTACTGGGAAGACTTCTGGTAAGGTTGTTGTTGTAAACATCAATTATTTCATTCAATTAAAATTAGATCTTCTGAAATTAGAACTTCTCTGCACAATGGAATTAAAATTAATTTTTATAGTATTCAAACATTGAACATATATTTTTACACACCAAATTATTTATTCATTTGTTTTTTGATTGATATTTTAATTTTGTACCCTTGTCCACAGAATACACTTCACCTGAAACTGAAAAAGAAACAACCACAACTCCACATCAAGATTTATCCACATCAAGCAAGCCAGAACAATTGACAAGTGGACATTTAAGCCAACCAACAACTGAAGTTATTTTAACTGCTTCTACTACAGAAATTAAATATTCAACTGAAAAACTGATATTAGAAACATCGATGTCTTCAACATCAGCAGTTGAAACATCAACACTGTCCTTAACCACGACAGGAAACAAAACAACAGGAGCTGAAAGCTCTACAGAGGCACAAAGTACAAGCGGGTTAACAACAACATCAGAAACCTCAATTGCACCCATTACAAAAACCCTTGCAACGATCACTGCTAAAGCATGGACAACACTTCAGACTAATGGTGAACAAACCACTGAGTTTGAATTTACCACATCTCAAATACCTTTTTCCACCACCACCAGGCCACCAAAAGTGGGGACGACTGGCCTAACAAGTCAACCAACTACTACAGCAACAACCACTTTAGAAGAGGTAACAGGCACATCATCTGAAACATCAGCATCTACAAGCACAGCCCTGTCAGTGTCACAAACTTCATTGCCAGTCGTTACATCCACACAGCCAACAACGCTGACAAAGAAAACTGCTGTACCAGTCACTACCCTTGTGTACACAACAGTAAGTGTAGAATCATCCACTGGGTCTGAGGTTACCCCACAGGGTCTTTCTTCAACAACAAAACCACTCAAAGATGAAACTACTCTTTCAACCACCACACCAGCCGTCCCATCCACTACTCTCATTGTCGAGGAAGGAAGCACCACTGCCCAACCATCTACAGAATCATCAGCTCCAAGCGTAGTCTCCACAACTTCAAAATCATCTACAGTCACTCAAACAACTGGACAACCAAAAACAACTGAGACTGTAACTGATAATGAATTAACCACAGCTCAGACACCTTTCTCCACCACCACCAGTCCACCAAAAGTGGGGACGACTGGCCGAACAAGCCAACCAACGACTACAGCAACAACCACTTTAGAAGAGGTAACAGGCACATCATCTGAATTATCAACATCTACAAGCACAGCCCTGCCATTGTCACAAACTTCGTTGCCAGTCGTTACATCCACACAGCCAACAACGCTGACAAAGACAACTGCTGTACCAGTCACTACCCTTGTGTACACAACAGTGAGTGTAGAATCATCCACCGGGTCTGAGGTTACCACTCAGGGTCTTTCTTCAACAACAAAACCACTCAAAGCTGAAACTACTCTTTCAACCACCACACCAGCCGTCCCATCCACTACTCTCATTGTCGAGGAAGGAAGCACCACTGCCCAACCATCTACAGAATCATCAGCTCCAAGCGTAGTCTCCACAACTTCAAAATCATCTATAGCTACTCAAACAACTGGACAACCAACAAAAACTGAGATTGTAACTGAGAATGAATTTACCACAGCTCAGACGCCTTTGTCCACCACCACCAGGCCACCAAAAGTGGTGACAACTGGTCTAACAAGCCAACCAACGACTACAGAAACAACCACTTTAGAAGAGGTAACAGGCACATCATCTGAAACATCAACATCTACAAGCACAGCCCTGCCAGTGTCACAAACTTCATTGCCAGTCGTTACATCCACACAGCCAACAACGCTGACAAAGACAACTGCTGTACCAGTCACTACCCTTGTGTACACAACAGTGAGTGTAGAATCATCCACTGGGTCTGAGGCTACAAATCATGGTCTTTCTTCAACAACAAAACCACTCGAAGCTGAAACTACTCTTTCAACCAACACACCAGCCGTCCCATCCACTACTCTCATTGTCGAGGAAGAAAGCACCACTGCCCAACCATCTACAGAATCATCAGCTCCAAGCCTAGTCTCCACAACTTCAAAATCATCTACAGCTACTCAAACAACTAAACAACCAACAACAACTGAGATTGTAACTGAGAATGAATTTACCACAGCTCAAACGCCTTTGTCCACCACCACCAGGCCACCAAAAGTGGGGACGACTGGCCTAACAAGCCAAGCAACGACTACAGCAAGAACCACTTTAGAAGAGGTAACAGGCACATCATCTGAAACATCAGCATCTACAAGCACAGCCCTGTCAGTGTCACAAACTTCATTGCCAGTCGTTACATCCACACAGCCAACAACGCTGACAAAGACAACTGCTGTACCAGTCACTACCCTTGTGTACACAACAGTGAGTGTAGAATCATCCACCGGGTCTGAGGTTACCACTCAGGGTCTTTCTTCAACAACAAAACCACTCAAAGCTGAAACTACTCTTTCAACCACCACACCAGCCGTCCCATCCACTACTCTCATTGTCGAGGAAGGAAGCACCACTGCCCAACCATCTAAAGAATCATCAACTCTAAGCGTAGTCTCCACATCTTCAAAATCATCTACAGCTACTCAAACAACTGGACAACCAACCACAACTGAGACTGTAACTGAGAATGAATTGACCACAGGTCAGACACCTTTGTCCACGACCACCAGGCCACCAAAAGTGGAGACGACTGGCCTAACAAGCCAACCAACGACTACAGCAACAACCACTTTAGAAGAGGTTACACTCACATCATCTGAAACATCAACATCTACAAGCACAGCCCTGCCAGTGTCACAAACTTCATTGCCAGTCGTTACATCCACACAGCCAACAACGCTGACAAAGACAACTGCTGTACCAGTCATTACCCTTGTGTACACAACAGTGAGTGTAGAATCATCAACTGGGTCTGAGGTTACCACTCAGGCTCTTTCTTCAACAACAAAACCACTCAAAGCTGAAACTACTCTTTCAACCACCACACCAGCCGTCCTTACAGGCACATCATCTGAAACATCAGCATCTACAAGCACAGCCCTGCCATTGTCACAAACTTCATTGCCAGTCGTTACATCCACACAGCCAACAACGCTGACAAAGACAACTGCTGTACCAGTCACTACCCTTGTGTACACAACGAAACATCAACATCTACAAGCACAGCCCTGCCAGTGTCACAAACTGCATTGCCAATCGTTACATCCACACAGCCAACAACGCTGACAAAGACAACTCCTGTACCAGTCACTACCCTTGTGTACACAACAGTGAGTGTAGAATTATCCACCGGGTCTGAGGTTACCACTCAGGGTCTTTCTTCAACAACAAAACCACTCAAAGCTGAAACTACTCTTTCAACCACCACACCAGCCGTCCCATCCACTACTCTCATTGTCGAGGAAGGAAGCACCACTGCCCAACCATCTACCTAACAAGCCAACCAACGACTACAGCAACAACCACTTTCGAAGAGGTAACAGGCACATCATCTAAAACATCAACATCTACAAGCACAGGCATGCCAGTGTCACAAACTTCATTGCCAGTCGTTACATCCACACAGCCAACAACGCTGACAAAGACAACTGCTGTACCAGTCACTACCCTTGTGTACACAACAGTGAGTGTAGAATCATCCACCGGGTCTGAGGTTACCACTCAGGGTCTTTCTTCAACAACAAAACCACTCAAAGCTGAAACTACTCTTTCAACCACCACACCAGCCGTCCCATCCACTACTCTCATTGTCGAGGAAGGAAGCACCACTGCCCAACCATCTACAGAATCATCAGCTCCAAGCGTAGTCTCCACAACTTCAAAATCTTCCACAGCTACTCAAACAACTGGACAACCAACAACAACTGAGACTATAACTCAGAATGAATTGACCACAGGTCAGACACCTTTGTCCACCACCACCAGGCCACCAAAAGTGGAGACGACTGGCCTAACAAGCCAACCAACGACTACAGCAACAACTACTTTAGAAGTGGAAACTTCTTTCGAAACAACTAAAACAGTGTATATTTCAACTATTTCACCAATTTCCACTCAAAATGTTTTCTACTCATCCACATCCATGGAGACCTCAGTTGCTCCCATTACACAAACATTACCATCATTTACTAAGACCCTTCCAGTGACCACAACGTCCTCTTTATTCTCAACCAGTTCTGTTGTTTGTTGTTTTGTCAATGGCACACATTTTCAATCAGGTACAAAATTCCCATTTAATTTTTATTTTTGTATTATTTAATAATCATAAGAAAAGCTGAACATTTTTAACTTTGTAACTGTTTTTTTTTTTTTTCAGGTGATATCATTTACAATGTTACTGATGGCTCTGGTTGGTGTTTCACTGCATACTGTAATGCATCTTGTCATATTGTGAAGATTTCAACATCATGTGAAACCTCCCCATCACCATCCATTCCTCCTGAAACAACCACATATTCCAGTTCAACAACCATAAGTTCCACAGAAACAACACAGCCTGCCACAACTAATACAGACACAGAAGTAACAACTACAACCTATGGGCCTAAGTGTGATGCACTTGATCCACCAAGACAGGTATATCTTCAAATATTAGTCTTTTGTTTCATAGGTTATGGAATACAGACATGGCCCTCCTTTTTTGCACATGTTAAATGTCAGTGGGAACAAGATAATACCAAAACTAAATGTTAAATATTTGCATCTGGCAGATGTTTTTATCCAAAGCAACTTACATTTCACTCAGTTTGTTTAAGAATGTAAATTTTTTGATAATTAGTGCATTTAATAATAATATTCCAGTAAACTAACAGAAACAGATGTTAAGCAGACTCTTGATTATGTGTAATAGGTTTGCAGATCACAGAAAAATGCCTGAACAATTAATTAAGATTTGAATGGATGTGTCAATGTGTCAACTGCAGAATTTTGTGAACAGAATTCAATGAACCATTTCAGCTTCCCATTTATGAAAACGTGATATATCTGACGAGTTTTTTTTTTTTTTTTGGTTTTGCAGCCCAATGATACTTGGCAGAGAGGATGTCAAATGTGTGAGTGTGAGAGTGAAACACTGACCGTCCGTTGCCAGCCTGTAACTTGTCCTGTTTCACCACCTGTTACTTGCGATCAGCCTGGTCAAGTGCTTGTGAACACAACAATTGACTGCTGTGAGATCCATGAGTGCAGTAAGTGATCTGAAAACAAGAAAACGGGGACTCAGAAGGACTTTTTAAAACAGATGACAGAAATACTATTCATTTGATATATTTACTAGTTTTTAGTTATTCAGTCATACTAGTGGTTTTCAACTGATGGCTTCAAAAAAATTAGGTCCCAACTTAAGCAAACGATGGGTCTTGATTTACCCTTGTACTGTTTAAACAGCAGAAAGTTAGACAAAAAATTCTAAAAATTGATTGTAGAAATGCCTGTACGTTTACAATGAAATGCTGAACAAAAATGTTTAATATTATTCTACAGGTTGTGATGTGAACCTGTGCCCTATTCCGACAATACAATGTCCACTGGGTTTTATACCATCCTTCAGCGTGTCTCCAGATAACTGCTGTCCAGATTATATTTGCTGTATGTATATGGACCAGTTGTTCTCAGAAAAGATACTTTATTGTTTTGATGCTGTGCGATGCACTCATTCATTTCTTAATTTTTACAGCACCCATGGAAGTCTGTGTCCATAATACCACAGTGTATCAGGTAAAATGAGATATTACTTCATTTTATATATATATACACAAGATATCAAAAGTATACTTATTCCCTCTCTCTATCGCCGTCTCTAGCCTGGCTCAACTATACCAAGCGATGACCCTTGTACGCTTTGTCAGTGTGGTTGGAACGTAGATCCTGAAACAGAACTTTTTGCTCCAGAGTGTGTGATAGCTGACTGCAACGATAACTGTCCAGAGGTATAATCGTCTATTTCCGTCTTCAATAAAGACTAGCGGAGTCGGGTTACAAATGCCAGCGTTTTAGAAAAAGCATAACAAATCATGTGAACAATAAGCATAGACACCTTTAAAATAATTCAGTGCACAGTTATCTGTCAACTACCAGGCAATGTGATGTATTTCTCTTTCTTTTTTTCCTTTAGGGTCACGAGTACCAACTCATTCCTGGTCAGTGCTGTGGAGAGTGTGTTAGCACCGATTGTGTGGTTATGCATGACAACATCACAGTTACCGTTTCAGTAAGTTCTGACATTACACTTATTTTAGCATTTTAACAATTGCATTGTAAAGTGCATTTTTTATTATCAAATTAATGACATTTTAAATGTTTGCATTAAGTATTCTTTGTATACCTTCTCCACTAACAGGTTGACCAGATATGGCAACCATCTAATGACAAATGTGTGAAATACAAGTGTGAGAGAGTCAACGGTAACTCAGTGACAGTTGAGATTAAGACCACTTGCCCTGCCTTCAATCCTGAGAATTGTATCCCTGTAAGTGGCTTGAAAGAGACAACTTAATATCTTAAATTTAAGTCTGTTCAATGGTTAATGCTTTTTCTTTTTCTACAGGGAACAGAGACAATAGATGCAGATGGCTGCTGTCAAACCTGTGAGTCTGGAACATTTAAAAAGCATTACTCAATAATTGCAAAATATGTTAATGAGAGTTAAATACTCTTAAAAATGCATTTATGTTCTATTTGAATCATGATTCGTGAAAATGACGGGTAATGCCATTTAGAATTACATCTGATGCCACTATCTGAACACCATTTCTAGGAGCAAAATAACTTAATTAAAAAAGAAAATACTACTACTGAACAGTGCTGGGTAGATTACTTGCAAATTGTAGTCCGTTACTGATTCCAAATTTCATGAAAAAAACTGTAGTTGTAACATAATCCATTACATTACACTTTTCAGGAAATATAATCAGACTACTTTTTGATTACTTTTAGAATAATTTTGACCTAACTTGTTTATCTCATTGATTTAAATGGGATAATCACGTACCACACTGATATAAAAATAAAAAAAGAAAGAAAATATATTCCATTTGTTGTTATTAACAACATGAAGTGCATTAAACATATTACGTCAAAGTTTCCCAAACTTCCCATGTAATCGGTTACTACCCAGCACTGCTACTGAACTTGCCGAAAAACTATTTCAGGTCATATAAAGTGTAGAATTATATCTTCTAACACTTAATTAATGTGTTTCTCATTTCCCTTAGGTACACTGGACAACAAATGTAATGTCCAGAAGAACAGCACCTTCATGGCCAGTAATGGCTGTATAAGCAGCACACCTGTGGAAATAACCTCTTGCTCAGGCTTCTGTGAGACCTCATCAATGTGAGTAACAAAATCACAATTTAGAGATCTTCATTTATAAATACATTTAGTTTTTGTGCCACAAATTGTACCATCTGTGCTGGTACTTAACAACCGAACCGTCATTGTATGTTGAAACAGATACTCTGCAGAAGCGAACGCTCTTGTGCACTCATGCTCGTGCTGTCAAGAAATGACAACCACCAAGAAGGAAGCGACCCTGACTTGCCCTGATGGGTCAAATATCAGCCACACTTACATTTACATTGAGTCTTGTGGCTGCAAGGCCTCCGACTGCTCTGGTCAATCGACTTCCTTAAGGAGACGCCGAAGGAGACTGTAAACCTGCGTTCTTAACCCCGAACAGTAGAGCAGTTTCAAATGAATCTTATGGAATAAATCTGTAAATTTTAATAGCATGAAATGTTTGTGATAATCATCTCTATGGTGACATGACAGCTTTTTTGTTTCTTGTCTAGTAGCTCTTAATAAACTAATGCAAACTGAAGTTTGTTTATATGTTGTCATTTTTCTGGAAAACTGCAATGGTTCCAATGCTCTGTGAATGGCATGGTGGAAAGGATTCTGTCACAGTTGTGGATTCACAATGTAAAGATTTTGGATGCAAAATTATAACCTTTTGCAACACATGGCCATTGCTCATGCCCTTATAAACTATATTTTTTAGTCTAATTACATTCAAACTGGTGATAACTGGTGCGTTAGTTAGAGCAATACGGCAACTATAGCCTTTTCATTTAGGTTTACATTTATGCATTTAGCTGACACTTTTATCCAAAGTGACATAATAGAAAAACAACAGCAATTCATCACAGAGCCAACAACAATCACAGTGTGCAATGCCAGGTTTAGTAGAAAGCTAGATTAGTAAACAAGTTAGAGCAGAGGAGAAAAGCAAGGAAAAAGATTTTGTTTTGCTCCAAGTGCTATTTACTCCAAAACAATATGATAATTTTAACCACAAGGTCTTGCAACTGTACTGTGCAATAACAGGCAATGTGCGTCATATATATTTGCCAATATCATGGGCTGCTATTAGGCATTTCACACTTACCAGATATTCTGTGCTTGTAATGGACATAAAGTGGTTTGTGCACAAACGAGCCATTAAAATAATTACATTAATTCTGATATACTCCGATATCTCTTTAATCATCTTCAAAATAAATTATATTCATGTACATTTATGTAACTAAATTCATACAGATAAAAGCATAATACAGTATATCAAACATCTTTAAGACATGGGATCACTACAATACAGATATGGTATACTGCCCTCAGCGGACATATGACAAGCTACTCCTTTACAAAAATCATCCTACATTCTCTGTAACGACCCAGAAACATTCATTCTGAATGCTGATTTAAAGACAATTAAAATTTTGTTAGATTTACGTGCTACTGTTAAGGGTTGATAGACTTCAGTGTGCATATTTACAGGGGTTTTTTTTGGTATAAAGTTTTACATTGTTGGTACATTTAAGCGCTAGCTGTGTGGCAGTTCTGCAGTTAAAGCTCCTCAGCCATCTGTAGCAAGGAGTTTATGGCAGCATCCTTGTTGCCCTGTTGGGCCTCCAAAACGGTGCGGATCACCTCCTTGTCGAGGTTGGGAAACATGTCCTGAAGGGCTTTAAGGTCTTCTTCACCACAGGGGGCGCTCTGTGACGTGACAGCAGGCATGGCTGGCATTCCCATGGGCACCACACCTTGGTTATACATACCAGGGACACCTAAATACACATTTGGACAAAAGCGTACTTTTCGTGTTTTGTTTTTATCATTAAAGGCAGTATTTAACTGTGCACAGGCAACCATTTTAGAGTCTTAATCTCCCAAACAGAACAGGCTTGCTTACTCATTTCAACCCTGCAATTCTGACATGAAATAATGACATATGAAAATCAGTTTTTTTTTAAAATTATTATTATTTTTGAAAGTTAATTGAATCTTTAGACACAAACGTTTGCGTATGTTTTTTTTTTTTTTTTTTATCAGAGGCTGAAACTGAGCAAAAATATGCAATTTGGTGCAGATGCTGATATTTATACTGCCAAAAATTAAGATGAAATTTTGATAGTTTGTAATGTAAATCAATGAGGTCTTTATAACAGTATAGCAGACAACCTACATAAAATGATATATCAGTTGTCACCCTATATCTCCAATAATGTCTTAGTAAGATATTTAAAAAACAAAACAAAAAAAAAACTATAGGACAGGAAGAACTGTCGTTATCTCTAGGTCATTTCCCAAAACAGTTCAAGCTGATGGTTAAGTCTCTTGTTAAAAAACACAACTAGATCCTAATGATCTGGCAAATTACAGACCCATGTCAAATCTTCCGTTTATTTCTAAAATTTTAGAAAAAGTTGTTTCTGCTCAATTACACTCCTTCCTTCAAAAAAATTATATTTATGAAGAATTTCAGTCAGGTTTCAGGGCCCATCATAGCACAGAAACTGACTTGCTTCTTGCATCAGACCAAGGCTGCATCTCATTGCTAGTTTTACTTGATCTTGGTGCTGCGTTTGACACTATAGATCATGACGTACTCCTAGATCGATTACAAAACTATACGGTTATTTAAGGGCAGGCTTTAAGATGGTTTAATCCTACCTGTCCGATCGCTATCACTGTTTATTTAAACAGGGAATCATCTCAATTAACTCCAGTAAAGTATGGAGTCCCACAAGGATCTGTCCTAGGCCCTCTGCTATTCTAAAAGTCCATCAGATGACAAAAAGCATGTAGTAGATTGTGTGAAACAGGCATTTCAGCAAAATTTTGATCATCTTGATCATTTAAAGGCCTTAGAAATTTGTGTACCAAATATGATACAGTAGGGTTAAACATGATGAAGGGCCCTAAAACTGCATGAATACAGCAGTGGCTGCTCGATTTATTATGTCAGTGTTATACATACCTGCTATGGGCACATATCCAACGCCCTGTTGATAAACTGTAGGCATCAAAACCACAGGCTGCGGCTGCATCATCATTCCTGCTGGTATTGACTTTGATTAAAAAAAAAAGAGAGAGAGAAAAATATACATTTGATTAAACAAAAGTTGACATGCTCTTTTTTTGAAAGTTACTGTTCTTATACGTTATATCAGTTTACAGTGCATATACTTTCTGAATTTTCATGCATGTCCTGACCAGGTCATTTGTACAGGCAACAAGTAATTTGACTGTCCACACTGAAAGCAAAAGCAGAACACAACATATGCATACCTATCACAATTGCCTTGGTTTACAAAGTTGAAAGGCAACAGCATTTCTCTTGTAACACCTGTTTAAGACACACCATTAACACACAGGAGTATTTTGTGAGTGAGGACTTACAGCAAAGGACATGACAAGATTAATCATGCCTTCTTTGTCATCACCCTGCCTTCCGCTCAAGCTGTACCATTCATCCACGATGGTTCCCTCTCGCAGACTCTCTGGTATCGTCACGTGTGTCCATGCGATGCGATCATCCATGGAAAACGCTCTCTGTCCGGCAACACAGAACAATCAACATTTAAGATCGCCTACTGCAAGAAAAGTCACCTTTACATGCAGGATTTCAGGATATAAAAATTCATGATTTAAGATTTTGTTATTTTGGCACTGTTACCGTTTTTATTACAATTTTGAAAAAGCTTTCGTTTTTATATTTTCGGTTTTCATTTTAATTTTAGTTAAAGTTTTAGTAAATAAATTGTGTATTTTGTCATTTTGTCAATTGTGCCATTTTTTGTTTGTTTCTTCGCCTACATCCAACATCATCCGCTGAAACATAATTATTTTGTGAATGCACGTACGACAGTTAGCGGAAGCTAGAGATGAAATATGGATATTTTTCTTACACAAATGCATCGATTTGCTTCAGAAGGACTTTATTGTCCCTTTTGAGCCGTGTGGAGTACTTTTTATGATGGATGGATGCACTTTTTTGTGCTTCAAAATCTCGACCCCCATTCATTGCCATTATAAAGCTTGGAAGAGCCAGGACATTTTTAAACATAACTCCGATTATATTCGTCTGAAAGAAGAATACACCTAGGATGGCTTGAGGGTAAATCATGGGGTAATTTTTGGGTGAACTATCCCTTTAACTATAGTAACCCTGGCATGCCGTAATGGATTTTTTTTCTTTCATACTATGGAAGTCAATGGCTACCAGAAACTCTTTGGTAATCAACATTCTTCAAAATATCTTCCTTTGTGTTCAACAGAAGAAATAAATTCATACAGTTTTGGAAAAACTTGAGGGACAGTAAATGATGACAGTATTTGTTTTTGGGTGAATTATTGCTTTAATGTGACTACAATATGACTAAAATATCAAAAGTTTTCAATGACTCAAATTAATGTTAACTAAATATGACAAAAACAAGGACATGTAACACAAAACTAAGCTATTAAAAAGCCGTATTCAGTCTGACCTCATCGAAGATTTCCAGATAGAAAGAGTCGACCCCAGGCGGGACAGTGCACTGGATGACTTTGTTCCAGCGAGGGTTCTTTGCTCCATTGTGGGCAGTAAGAGTCTCATAGACGGCATAGCCAAGTCGAATCCTGCAGTAAGGGTCCATGCGTGTCATCCCATAGTTCTTCGCAAGCTTCGCCTGTGAAAACAACAATATAATTGGCCTTGTAACTTACAGGCCTTTGCATCTCCTTTTAAATATCCAGTATACTTATTACACACTTGAAAGTCACAGATGCACAAATACAACAACTGCAATGAGCCATTTATGTAGAAACACAATGTTAAGCTGAAATGTTGTTTTGTGCAACTGACTGAAATGCATTGCTCAAGCAATTGCCCAATCAGGGTTGCAACCACAGAAAGATGCCAGTGATGGAAATAACTTGTTATCTAACATTGTTATCATTATCATATTATTACACCTTTTACCAGGTTAGTCTCTGGAGAAAGCAATATCACAGATAGAGGACTTGTTTCATGTTTCATATGCCTTATTGATTTATTTTGTTTATTAGAATCACACAGCTTTTGGCTTCACGAGAGCGGTGTGAATTGTTTGTGATTATTGTGATGTTTTTATCAGCTGTTTAGACTCTCATTCTGACGGCACCCATTCACTGCAGAGCATCCATTGGACACTGATTGATTCTACAGTCAATAACAGCTCAAGAAATAACCAGTCTTCAGACTCAGGCTCAGCATCGCAATTATTTCTTTAATGACTGGTAACCCATTCAGTCCATTTTTCAAAATGATTCTTCCATTTAACTTAGACACTGATTGATTCTACAGTCAAAAACAGCTCAGACTCAGGCTCAGCATCGCAATTATTTCTTTAATGACTGGTAACCCATT